TAATTCCCGTATAAATAATTCACATTTTAATGCAAATTAAATGAGGGAAATAGGGGGAAACGATAATGAACGGCACGAAAGCGCAACGACAAACGTGTTTTTCTTCACTGAACTGTACGTCACCATTTGTACCAACAGATGGCGCTGCGAGACGTAATTAAACGAGTTTAAACATCCCACGCTTTTTTATGGAATAACTTAAACTCAACTCAAACCACATTTAAGATTAGAAAACATCTTCGAGCTCTAAGTGTTGGAGCTGGAGCCAATCCCTGTCCATCACACGCCCAAATATGGAGATACACACAAGAAAAAGCCCACACAGAAAGACTACCAACCAATAGTACACACTGGGTCTCGAACCGGTGATGTTCTTGCTGTACGGCAAAAGCAATTACCACTTTATTACTGCGTTACCGATGGCCCATCAGGACCTAAAATAGCATATTACTAAGTAAATACTTAATTTAATAGTTTGATGTTGCTGCTGCGCCTTAATTTTTTGGCTGCCTGTCTTTAATTTAATTTCAAAATGCCTTTTTACATTTTTTTCTAAATATATTTTTATATATTTATAATTTTAAAAGCTAAAATAAACAAGATTACCTGACCTTGTACTTTGGCCCAGTTAATAGTTAAAAAAATAAATAATAAAAAATCACTGTACCCCCTAGTGGCAGCTCCAGTGTCTGGTCTGGGTGCAGCAATAGCAGCAGCAGCAGTAGCAGCAGGGAGGCTGTGTTCGGATTAGGGGGTTGGGCTGCCGCCGCACTTCAGTCTGTCTCGGCCGGTGCATTTTTGCTTTCCCGCAGCATCATCACATCATCTCAGCCTTCATCCTCATTTTGCTGCTTTTCCTCTCCAGCAGCGGCAGCAGCAGCAGCAGCAGCAGCTCACAAACACAAACACCGCAGCAGCAGCAGCTGGAACAGAGGAAAGAAACAAGGACGAGCCGCGGTAAGTGATCGCTTTTGACCTTAAATATCGTTGTCGTTTATGTGATTAGAATCTGTTTGTATTTTTTCTGTAACCTTATTTAGATTTCACTTATACACGCTTTCTTCTCCAGTGTTATTATCATCTGAATAAATCTTAATAAACATCCCTGGACCACGTAATTCGAGTTTATGTCAGTTTTGCACTTGATTTTTTTATTTTCATTTTTTGATTTGGTCACAACAAAAATCATGTGTATTAAAGAGACTAGTCTGTAGGTGTGTGTTTTGTCTGCCAGTGAGCAGACAGGAGTCAAATGATTTCTCTCTGTTCTAGGAGCAGTCTTCAGGGAAATAAGGGGGTATCAATATAAGGTTAGAGAAAGATGGTGAAACTCGGGAGTAATCTTCAAGACAAAGGGGCCAAAGCTGTGAGTGTGGAGGACGGCTTCCAAAATGTGCCCCTCATCACTCCGCTGGATGTTGGCAGCCTCCAGAGCCAGGCACCTGACAAGGTGAGAGACGACAGCCCGAGTTTACCTCCATGTTTGTGCGTGTGTCTGCTCCTCATCTGTCACTGTGTTTTTTCACAAGTGTTTTTAACGTGCACCATCCCCAAACACACACACACACACTCCCTAACTCATTCACATGTCCATTCATCTCTGCTGTCTCCCAGCTGTGTCCTTTGTTTTCCAGCCCAGATTAGGAGGCAGATTTGGTGCCAGACAGTCTGTCATTTATCATCTCGACATCCCACAGTAATTGCTCCAGCGTGCGTTAATCCAGTTACCATGGTGGTACTGCAACAGTGAGAGCTCACTGCTTATACCAGACAGTCATGGACAGAGAGCTGCATTGATTGCACATTATGAAAATGAAAGGGATTTAGACACAGGCTGATCTAAATGACAGGAAGTGTAGGCATTCTTTGTCCCCCCCCTCCCCCCCGTCTTTAGTAGGGCTGCACAATTAATCGTCGGCGATGTTAACATTTAGAAATCGGGCTCTGCTGTATATGATATCGAGCATTTTTTCAAACAACAGTCAGCCAACCACCAGGGGGCGACCAAAATCTGCTTAATTAGGAAGTGAGTGCGCTCTGCAGAAAGCGGCATGGGTAGCCTCAAATTGTTCAGTGACAAATGTGAGAGTGAGTTCTAATGTCGGAAACAACAGTTGACGGTGCCGCAGCATTTCGAGGCTAGCTAGGAGCTAGTGCTAACCATGATCATAGATCAGTGTGGTAGAGTTGTGTCTGTGCCATAGAGCAGCACAACTAACTTATTCAGCTACCTGAAAAAACTAACGCAAACACAATGAAGGCTAAAGCAAACGCTGGTTAAAACAACTGGTATGGGAATAGACGTCGCAGTCCCTTCCTGTAAAAAGTCAATGATATATTTATATTTCAAGCATTCTAGCATTTGTCTTGGGTACATTTTATTTTATTATTTATGATTTTAAGTTTTATTTTGAAATGAAAGCCTCGTTCACATCGACACAGCTACATCACTTCAGTCAGACATAGTGAGGATAGGATTTAAAGGGCTGTATGATAAAGAGTTTTTCAAATGCTAGCCCACGGCTCTGGGGTGGGACGTGGAGCTACATTTTATTGGTCAATCATATGAAAACGATGCACCAATTGCACCCTACTGTTTGATATATTACAAAGAGCAGGCTTGACGCCTTCTCCTATACTTTCTTCTAAGTATAATAACATGTTAGCATCGGCTTTTGAGTGTGAGCTTCTCTCGTTCTCTGACACAGAACATGTGCTGAACGAACGGTCCAATCAGTGGCCGGTCGATCAGTGCCTCTCTGCTGAAATCTAAAGCCATTCTGAAGGTACAGGAGAAACCCTGTGATATACACACTTACTGTACACTTGGCACAATTAGCGATTAGCTGCAGCCACGGCGATTAGCTGATTGCATTATTTCACACTGCCAAATTACCAGTAAGAATGCCTGAAGGCAGCCCAGGCTGGCTGGAAAACCTTCAGTAATACTAGAGGGACTTGTGCTAGTACTAACTGTGGTACTAGTACTTCAGGTTGTTTTTGTCAGAACTGTTGCATGCACACCTTCTCACCTGGTTTTAAGCTTTTGGCTACGTGTTAATATAAAAACCTCTTCATGTGGAAGCTGCTGTAAAACAACTGCTCTCTGTCATCAGCAACAAGGAGGAGAGGCTAAAAACTCTTGGCTCATGTCCACAGCCTTAACCACCAACCTTTGGAGCTTATGCTGCTGGAAGCAGTTTCATCACATTCTGTTATGTGTACCTTTTAGGTGGGCATTCAGTACACACACTCAAACGCACTCCCACGTACAGTATAGGCAAAGAAAGAAGAAGTCGTTTGAATGCAGCATTCTGATCAGTGCGAGAGAGAAGGAGAGATAAAGGAGGGTCAAAGAGACAGGCAGCTATTGCTTTTGACATGGTCTGACACTCATCAAGCTGTCAGTCATTTTACTCCAAGTGAACCAGTCCCAGTCGATTTAGAACCAGACTCACGCACACTCATGCCCTAACTGTATATTACCGTATCTTACTGCGATGACAGAGTATATTACCCTTTGAACACCAAGCATCAAAACGACATACACAATATTAGCCTTGAACCAAACCCAACCCCGCTAGTCTAACCCAGGGGTGTCAACCTCATTTTAGTTCAGGGGCCACATTCAGCCTGATTGAATGTCAATTGAAAGTGGGACGGACCAGTAAAATCATATTTTAGTTCAGGGTAAATAACAATAAGTCCAAGTTTCTCCCCTTTTTTTCCATGCAAATCAGTAAAAATGTATTAGAAAATAGTCATATTTAATGAAATATAATTTGACAAAACACCACAAACATGAAGTGTTTGTGCATTTACTTTCAAAATTCATTAAGTGGGTCAGATTGACCCCCCAAGTGGGCCAGTTTTGGCCCGCAGGCCTTATGTTTGACACCGCTGCTCTAACCAGGCTTTTCAAATGAAGGATTCTTAAATTCTTAAAGTGACAACACCTTGCCAAGGCACTGTGTATGGCAGGGATATTCGATTGTAAATTTAGTTGGGTCGGATTTTCAAACCCATAAACTCAGCTGGCCCACACATAACAGTAAATAAATACTGTTTGTTTTCAGTTGTTGAACACAGCCTGGGGATTGCTGTAAAATAAACAAGCATTTGTCAGTATATGCAAAGTTTAACTGACGATTTTCAATGGTAACTTTTCACATCTGCCTCCAGGGGCAGTGTTACTGTATAGTCAAACTGCTAACATGATTCTCAAATGACCGTAGGCCACTCAGAGGTTGGGCCTGGGCTGCATCTGGGCCACAGACCACTATTTGAATAGCGTATCAGTTGCTCAAAATGTGGATGGGAGTGTTTCTTCAAGCTTACTTGACCTGTGATACCAATACGAATAAATGAATTTGATCAGTCGCTCTCAGCAGCCGCCTGTTCGTGCAGCGGGCACTTCATTCAGGACTCGGGAATCAGTGGATCGATTCAGGCACTGAGGAAACATGGTGCAGTTTGATTGAAGTCCTGCACCATCAAGGACAACCAAGGGCAGAAATAGAAGACGCGGAGGGAAAATGCATTAGGATAATTAGCCGTAGATGAAGTGACGGCGCGCCTCGCCATCTCCGCATCTGCATTTTAGAAAGTCATAAAAGCAGCAGGAAGAGTCAAGAGGCCAGAACTTTGCTCCATCACAGATGGAACCTCTACCAGAGAAACAATCTTCACATTTAGCTTTTTCTACTGTATACGTCGGTGCAGTGCGAGCATCAGTGATATACCGGGGATTTGTAGCTGTTGACATTTGAAAAGGAACGGAGGTCAGATGAGGTTTGCTCCTCTGAGATGTTTCTTTTCCTTTTCTGTTTTTTTTACAAGCCTCAGGAGATGTATAGTCACAGAGATGTTGCTCCTTTTGGACACAGCCAGTTAGACAGCTGACACACTGTGCATTGCTTTGCTTCCGGGACAGAGAATTGCAAGCGTGCAACTTTTCCAAAAAGTTTTTTTTTTTGGAGCCATTATGTAAATGCACACAGGTCCGTTATTCACACTTAAAAATGACTTTGTGGGTTTTGGACGCCACACAGATGAGTTTGCTGCCGAATTTTTTAAGCCGTCTCATACTGTCGGGTCGTTAATTTGTCTTTTTGTCAAGTGATGCATGAACACGACAAGCCAAGAGGGGACTGAAATAATAAATAAAACATTGGCGAGCGCCGTGTTGCCCTAATGAAGGGGCTCGTTCACTTGGAACTTAAACTCACAGGGCTTGTTCATTTTGCTGTGGGCGTCTGTGGACCAGGCACAGGACGGAGCAGTGGTGAGAGCTGTGACCTCACTCCTCCACGTATAAGTGTTGTGTTCACATCTTCTCTCTGGTCAATCTAGATGTGGAGTTGATGCAGAGTAGAAACAAGATCAAGTCCACACTTTGCCACATTCAAATGGGAATAATGTCCCCGTCAATGAAGGAAAGACGGAGATGGGATGGATTTATTCAGGTCAAAACTAAATGTTTTTTGTTTTTTTTAAATGAGCTATTATTGATGTAATTTTAATGGTGAATTTTGTATAACAAATTAAACATATCAATTAAACATATAACGGCAAATGACACTTAGTCAGCTCTCAGGTAGTACTTTAGTACTTTGCTTGAGTACTTCAGTTCTTTTCTAGCCTTGAAGACTGTTCCCAGTACATGCTCGTCATCCATTCACGCCTTGTTGCTCCGATGTCACATGTTCATTAAGGCCATCTGTGAGCAGTAACTTGTAGCAGTAATCGAGTTTCTTTCTTCTTACTTCTTGCTACTATCATTCAACCATATGCAAGTTCACAGCATCTGAAAGAACGAAAATAAAAAAACCCCAAAGATAAATGTTAAATACACTGCAGTACCACAGTGTGGGCTGTAGAGGCGGAGACATCAGAGGGGCAGTGGATTTTCCTACATCTGTCACACGGTCAACAGTTTCCTAATTTCCTTGGTGTAACTAAAGGGAAGAGGACGACGGCGAGAGCGAGGTTTAAACAGACTGCTTCACGCTGAGACGAGTCGTCATTTATTCAGGAGAACAGCTGCTAGACTGTGCAACACCAGCTTCCTCTGCTGCTCCTTCCTCTGACAGATCTTCAGCTGCTCCTTCCTCCTCCCTGCTTCACGTGGAGGAGCTTTTTCATCGCCACATCCATTCTTCATGAAGGTGCTCTCTCGTCATTGTAAAATAAAGAAAGAGCGAGCGGGGAGCAGCTTGTAGCGGGGAGCAGCTTGTCGAGTCACTGATAGATTGCTGAATAATTTCTGGTGTGCTGCGGCGTGTGAGGCCACATAATGAGATGGTAGTTTAAGATCCTCACGAATCCTCGCAAAGTATACGCAAAGTACGTATTTGAGTAACAAGGAGTGCAATAACGAGTTTAAAATGTAATTTGATTAATCATCACAACATTATAAATGTGATTACTTTGTTAGCAACACTAGTTCTGCTGTTTCTTCTAATACTTCTTTTACTACTGCTAATTTATATCTACCCACCCATCCATCCATCCATCCATCCATCTACATATCTATCCATCCATTCATCCATCCATCATCCATCCATCCACCTCCCTCCATCCATCTACATATCTATCCATCCATTCATTCCATCCATCATCCATCCACCCATCCATCCATCCATCCATCCATCATCCATCCATCCACCCATCCATCATCCATCCATCCACCCAACTACCTGCAAATTGCACCTATACATCCCCTTCTATCATCCATCCACCTACCTATCTATCTATCTATCTTTTAGTTATTTTTCTACTCATACTTTCTCCTTCCTCCTTTACCTCTCTTTCTTCTTTAACTACTTCTTATTTTTCTTCCATATCTAAAGACTCTCCTTCCATCCAAAGGTTCTCTTTAGGAACCGCAGCAGATTGCCCCTTGATTCCTTCAAAGAACTGACCATTTTTACAATTTCCTTCTCTCCCTTATCCTCAGTTATTTCCTGCATCTTTATTCTTTTTAACTCCCTAAAAGAAGACTCCGACCTGTTTTAAATACGTAGCAGGACCAATCAGTTCCTAAAGTATTACCCACCTGCAGTACATCATCCTTAGACACAAACGAGCACAGAAAAACTGCGACCCTGGGGTACTTTTATCTCATTTCTCCCCCCTAATTAATCTTCCCCTTCTGCAGATATTCTGGATCGGTACATTTGGAACAGTTCTTGCATCTGTTCCGTCACGCAGCTGTTCTCCGTAATAACAACATCTCCGCCGATCGTATCTGCAAATGGAACCAAAAAAATCTGTTATCTGCAGCTCAGCCTGCAGTCTCTCAGGCGGTCTCTGCTCTTCTCCCTGTGTCACCCATCACTCCTGACACTGGGGTCTACTCCATACATAACAAACTCAGTGAAGCACTAATGATGAGCAGCTCAGGATGAACTCAGTTACAAAAACAGGAGAACATTTACATAGGTGTCCACTGAGGTCTTTCATTAGCTTCAGCGTGATCAATTTTGACCAAGTGACTCGTCAATTTTTCGAAACGAAAAATCTAAACAAGTGAGTATTAATGTAGCACCTGCTGCACGTTTCATTCATTCTCCGAAAACATGTTCCTCTTTTCATATTTCCACTCCTAAAAACTCACGGAAACAGACGCTCAGGAGGAACAGCACATGACAAATGAGTCTCTACCAACAACTAATCATGTTGTCCTAGCAGCCATGTTGTCACAGCTGTTTGTAGCAGTTATTTGTATGAAATGTTATTTGTTGTCATCAAACAGGCTCTCAGTGTTTGCTGATAAATAGCTTGCCAAAAGAGTATTTAGTCATGTCTAATGAAATCATTTTGTTCTGTCGGATTTTCGCTGAAAGCTTGGAGTGCTGGTGTTGATTAATGGCCAGTTCGTTAGGAATTATGAAATGTTGGTAGGAGAGGACGGGGGGAGGAGATTAATGAAGCTACAACGTAAATAGCTAATGTGTTCAGACGCAGGTACTGTTCTGTGCGAAATGAGAGAGTCAGAGACCGAAATGAGAAAAATTGACGCAGAAATTAAGACATTAGTTATGACTGCGAGGAGACTGACGTCCGGTGAAACCCACGAGGCTTTGAAGACCCCAGGGGTCCAATCAGAGGCGCCGGTTTCCTGTGCTCCCGCTGTGGTCTTCAACTCTGAGATAAGAGCGTTCAAGAGCTGAATGACAGCATTGCTATTCAGATAGCGGAGCAGGTTTGTTTGCGCAGCACTTTCTGGCGGCGTCTCAGCGAGGCAGATAGCTGCCTGGAGACAACGCAATTAAGCACAAGGACAGTGAGTCATTGTTTTTGCCCCTGATGTCTCCATTCACCTCTCCTCTGCCCGGTCGTCATGGAACCTTCACCCTCTCCAGTGCATAGCTAGTACCGTGGCTAATGCTGAGTGCTGGGGTCAAACTAAATGTACCATCCTTCTTACGCGATGGAACCGGAAAATACTACTATATGGATTACTTACAGTAAAAATTAAATGATAAATTACACTGCAATACAACATATTGAAAGATTCTTCACACCAGTTATTGCTGCAATTCTGTTGTTGCTTGTTGACTTTTTCATCAGCTTGCCAAAGATTTTGTATGTTTCTTTTTTTACCCACTTCAACTGCTCCTGTCTTAAAGGTGGTGGTGAAAACTCGCACAGAGTTCCAGACAGAGAAGAAGAGGCTGAAGGTTCCAAAGGTGGAGGAATTCACCATCAGCTTCACCGACGGGGTCTCCGAAAGGCTTAAGGTACAGTTACGAGTTTTGAATATTTGCTGTTCTCTAGCGTGTGTTCAGTGTGGTACTGATAGAGACAATTGTACACTGAATGGGTGAATGATAGCTACAGTTTTCCTACCATGTTCCCAGATACAAATATGTTTAATATTTATGTGTCTCTGTTATTTAGAGAAGTTGCCTGAGGTTAGTTTCTCCATATACATAACTACAACATAAGCTCAAACATTTAATAGAAAAGCTGCACCTGTGAGCTATAGTTTTCAATGGTTTTCACCTATGGAGTCTATTGTTACCAATCCATTCCCTCCTACATCTGTGGCATTTATAACCAATGAAAAACCTTTTCTCATAGGTCACTGTACGGGTCTATAGAGCATGTAATAGGACAGGTTAGGTTGCTCCAACCTTCCACCAGAATCAGCATCATGGAGGTGCTGTCGCTTCCACTCTGTCATTGTTACGGGAGACCAAAGAGAAGTCACGTTGTCATGGCAGCAAAGAAAAACTTGCATGGCAACCCTGGTGTGAGAGGGAGCGAGAGAGGCAGAGTGTGAATGAGAAAAGAGAGAGAGGTGAGATGGTGTGCAAGCAGAGATGTGCAAATGTACAAGTGAGGAGGAGTGCTTTATACATATACGTGTGTATATGTACATGAATATTTATGAAGGGTGAAATACACCTGCATGAAAAGAGCGGAATAACACACACACACACACACACACACACACACACACACACAGCACAGTCCAAGGTTGGGAAGAAAATTCCGCCTTTTCCTTGGAGATCTCGAAAGCAATGGAATCCAGTCAGGAATATTCTAATGCAGGTGACATTTTATATTTATAAGGACCCCCAAACTGATGTAGTATATTCTAATGCAGGTGACATTTTATATGCCCAGGCCAAGGACCCCCAAACTGATGTAGCGACAGAGCAGACCCTCCTGATATACATGCTGCTCTCCGAAAAATTCCATATGTTGGGTTTATGTTATTGGGAATGTGAAAACATTTCAATTTGTGAAAAGAAAATGGTGGAAAATTATTTTTAAATAATACAAGAAAATGGTGTAATAAGCCAAACACTCACAGCTCTGTGTGCTGTTGCGATGGGGACCCCCTGCTGTAGACCCTGCTGTGGTGGAACAGCACGTCTACAGTGTGGGACTTATATTTTTATATTTCAGATACAGCGAGAAACGGTGGCTGATCGAGTTTTCTCATGGAATCAATTTCAAAATGTTCTACAGCGGCGGAGAATGTAGACGACGAGGTTCGTCCGCAGTCTACTGCAACGCATAACATTTTTAAAAAATTAAGTTGGAGCGTGTTCGATTCAGCTCAGTGACTGTGATCTGTGATTGGGACGGTTAGAAGTACACCGCTCGTTCTCAACGCACCACCAACCGACCAAGTGTTGAATTTGGAGGCGGGTTGTTTACTGAAATTGATGTGGCCGTCCCATTGCCAAAAATTTACACAATTCTGCAGTGTTGTTTATCAGAAATGTCTCCAAGTTCTACTCCGCGTGGTGCACTTCGGTCATGCTGCATCATCTCACATTAGCTTCAGTTCTGGAGAAGCTCTTTCCAGTCTCGCCTCGTCTCAGCTGAGCTGCTTGTTTGTTTGTTTGTTTTTTGCTACAGCTGATTCCGCAGGCACGCCTCTGTCCGTTTTCTCACTCTCACACAAACAAACAGACACACACACACCAACAAAGCAGAACAAACATTTCTGGATGAAGAGCTTGAACTTCTCGTCTTCATCGTCTGTCTCCTGCGTCCCACCCTCAGTCCTTTCCTTCCACACATTTCTCCATGATTATAACATTCCAAATCTACATTTTTTGACTTACCAAACCCCTTGTTAGATAAGAGTGCCGTTCTACAAAGGCCTGTTGTCACGAGCTGCCTCTGAAACCCTGTTATTTACCACAACTGATACCCTTGGACGTCAGGTCTGTTTGATTTTAGACAAAAGCTGCAGGATGACGCGTCAGG